ATAGGATGAGGGAGGAGTTAGCTAAGGTAGAACGGGAGCAAAAACTTTATGGTGGGTCAATTGAGGAACAGTGGAGAACTTTCAAAACAATTTTTCACAGTGCTCAGCAGAAGTATATTCCATTGATAAGGAAGAGCTGTAGGAAAAGAGATAGTCAGCCATGGATGTCTACGGAAATAAAGGAAAGTATCAGATTGAAAAAAAAACACATACAATAAAGCAAAGAGTAGTGGGAAACTAGTAGACTGGGAAATCTTTAAAGGCCAACAGAAAGCCACAAAAAAAGTTATAAAGAAAAGTAAGATAGATTATGAGAGTAAACTAGCTCAGAACATAAAAACAGGCAGTGAAAGTTTCTATAAATATGTAAATCATAAAAGAGTGGCAAAGGTAAACGTTGGTCCTTTAGAGGATGAGAAGGCCAATTTAATAACTGGGAATGAGGAAATAGACAAGGTATTAAACAGTTATTTTGTGTCGGTCTTCACAGTGGAAGACACAAATAACATGCTGAAAACTGATGGCAAGAAGGTTATAGCAGGTGAGGCCCTAGAAACTATCATTATCACTAAGGAAGCAGTGCTGGGCAAGCTAATGGGGCTAAAGGTAGACAAGTCTCCTGGCCCTGATGAAATGCATCCCAGGGTACTAAAAGAGGTGATGGGGGAAATAGCAAATGCACTAGTAATTATTTATCAAAATTCACTGGACTCTGGGGTGGTTCCCGCAGATTGGAAAACAGCCAATTGTGATGCCACTGTTTAAAAAAGGAAGTAGACAAAAAGCATCCCCGCCTCTTTGACCTGTCTGTTTCCTCTCCACCTATCTTCTCCTCTATCCATCTTCTATCCGCCTCCCCCTCTCTCCCTATTTATTTCAGAACCCCCTTCCCCTCCCCATTTCTGATGAAGGGTCTAGGCCCAAAACGTCAGCCTTCCTGCTCCTATGATGCTGCTTGGCCTGCTGTGTTCATCCAGCTCTACACCTTGTTATCTCAGATTCTCCAGCATCTGCAGTTCCTACTATCTCTGATACAACTATAGGCCAGTTAGCTTAACTTCGGTAGAGGGGAAAATGCTTGAATCTATCATTAAGGAAGAAATAGCAAGACATCTGGATATAAATTGTCCAATTGGGAACACCCAGCATGGGTTCATGAAGGGTAGGTCATGTTTAACTAATTTGGTGGAATTCTTTGAGGACATTACTTGCATGGTGGACAATGGAGAACCTGTGGATGTGGTGTATCTGGATTTCCAGAAGGCATTTGACAAGGTGCCACATCAAAGGCTGCTACATAAGATAAAGTTGCACGGTATTACAGGTAATGTATTGGCATGGATAGAGGATTGGTTGACTAGTAGAAAACAAAGAGTAGGGGTAAATGGGTGTTTTTCTGGCTGGCGGTCAGTGGCTAGTGGTGTGTTTCAGGGATCAGTGTTGGGACCGCAATTGTTTACAATTTACATAGATGATTTGGAGTTGGGGTCTAAGTGTGGTGTGTCAAAATTTCTAGATAACACTAAGATGAGTGGTGGAGCTAAGTGTGCAGAAGACACTGAAAGTCTACAGAGGGATATAGATATTCTAAGTGAGTGGGCAAAGGTCTGGCAGATGGAGTACAATGTTGGTAAGTGTGAGGTCATCCATTTTGGAAGGAATAACAGCAAAATGGACTATGTTTTAAATGGTAAAAAATTGTAGCATGCTGCTGTGCAGAGGGACTTGGTGTCCTTGTGCATGAATCACTAAAAGTAGGATTGCAGGTGCAGCAGGTAATTAAAAAGGCAAATGGAATTTTGTCTGTCAATGCAAGCGGGATGGAGTTTAAAAACAGGGAGGCTTTGCTGCAGCTGTATAGGGTCCTGGTGAGGCCACACCTGGAGTACTATGTGCAGTTTTGGCCTCCTTACTTGAGAAGGGATATACTAGCACTGGAGGGGGTGCAGAGGAGATTCACTCAGTTGATTCCAGAGTTGAGAGGGTTGGATTATGAGGAGAGACTGAATAGGCTGGGATTATACTCATTGGAATTCAGAAGAATGAGGGGAGATCTTATAGAAACATATAAGATTATGAAGGGAATAGATAAGGTGGAAGCAGGGAGGTTGTTCCCGCTAGCAGGTGAAACTAGGACTAGAGGGCATTGCCTCAAAATAAAGGGAAGCAGGTGTAGGACTGAGGTCAGGAGGAACTTTTTCACCCAAAGGGTTGTGAATCTGTGGAATTCCCTACCCAGTGAAGCAGTTGAAGCTACCTTGTGGAATGTTTTTAAGGCAAGGCTAGATAAATTTTTGAACAGTAAAGAAATTAAGGGTTATGGTGAGTGGGTGGGTAAGTGGAGCTGAGTCTCAAAAAGATCAGCCATGATCTTATTGAATGGCGGGGCAGGCTCGAGGGGCCGGATGGCCTACTCCTGCGCCTAGTTCTTATGTTATTATTAATTTGATGGTAGTGTTCGAGGAACTGACCAAAATAGGAGGGGACTTCTGTGGGAAATATACACTATCTCTGACTACTTGGGCTAAACAGCATGTCTCTGTGCTGTATATTTTCTATATTTCCACGTAAATAAACAAAGAGTGTGCGAAGATGGTTATTGCAGTCAGGTGCAAAGTCACACACTGAGACAGGCCCCATCGACCTGTTCATCAGTTTCTAGTCTCCTGGAATGGAAATAAACTGTGAATGATGTGATTATTGCAGCTTGTTTTAATCTGCAGCTGATCATCTGAGTGTGGAGAATTCAACAGGGACGGATCAGGACCTTGAGACACAAAGTAGCCTGGACAAAGCGGATTATCCTGGTGGCCTCGTTTATTTTGGTTATTGCTACAAGTTTGTTCCTGTTGAAAAGACTTGGATCGAGGCTGAAGTAAGTGCTTGGAATCTCCATTGTAAGTTATTGGGGTTTGTTGCTCAGTGTTTCTAAAATGACTGAACGCAGAATGAAAGAAGCTTCTTGTACATTTCTGGACATTTCTGAAGCTATGAGTTACATCACCTGGGGTAACGTGAACGCCACAATATTCTAAATTGAATAGTGGGGGAAATGAGTTGTGACATTGAATCTGCCAGACATATAGGATCCCTTAACAAAATAATTTTGCCAAGAATGAAAAATGCTTAGTTTTAAAATTATCCTGTAAGATTTTTAATTTTGAAGTATTTTCTCTTTTGGATACTTAATAGCACAATGATTTACTGTATTCCAATAGAACATATTTTGACCATACACATGCATTGTTGTAATGATGTTCACTAAAGTTCATCGTTCAGAATGTTTGTGATTATTATGCTCAAGTTCTAAATAGATCCCTGACTTTAAAGATCATTGCATTGCAGAGACATAAACATGATTAAAGGAACCAAAGCTCTTTCAGGCATGAAGTTAACTCTCAGAAATGAAGTTCTTTTCCTATTAAAATGATGAGAGGAATAGATATTGTTGATGAGTAATAAACCTGCTTGACAGCATTTCCTCAATACTCTGGAGTGTCGGAGGCTGATGGGTGGCCTTATTGAGGTTTATCAACTGATGAGGGGCATGGATACGGTGAATAGTCAAGGTCATCTTCCCAGGGTAAGTGAGTCCAAAACTAGACAGAAAAGGTTGGAAGTGAAAGGGGAAAGATTTAAAAGGGACCTAAGGGCAACTTTTCCACTCAGAGGGTACTGCATGTAAAGAACGAGCTACCAGAGGAAGTGGGGGAGGCGGGTACAATTACAACATTTAAAAGGCATCTGGATGGGTGCATGAGTAGGAAGGGTTTAGAGAGAAATGGGCCAAATGCTGTAACATGGGACTAGATCAGTTTAGAATATCTGGTCGCAATGGATGAGTTGGACCAAAGGGTCTGTGTAACTCTGACTCGACTGATTGATAGATAACAATGAGAATTTATTTATTCACTCATGGGATTGGTGGCATAGTCTAAAAATTAGGACCAGACTGTTCAGGAGAGAGGTTTGGAAGCACTTAATGAGTCATAGAGTCATAGAGTCAGACAGCATGGAAACTGATTCTTCGGTCCAACCAGTCCATGCCGAACATAATCCGAAACTAAACTAGTCCCGCCTGCCTTCTCCTGGCCCATATCCCTCCAAACATTTCACATTCATATATCCATCCAGATGCCTTTTAAACATTGTAATTGTACTCACATCCACCACTTCCTCAGGATGTTCATTCCACATGTGAACCACCCTCTGTATAAAAAATTTGCCTCTCATGTCCTTTTCAAATTTCTCTCCTCTCACCTTAAAAATGTGTCCCCTAGTCTTGAAATCCCATCCTAGGGAAAAGATGACTACCATTAATTCCATCTATACCAATCATTATTTTATAAAATTCTATCAGGTCGCCTCGTAACCTCCTACACTCCAGTGACAAAAGTCCCAGCCTATCCAGCCTTTCTTTATAACTCAAACCTTCCATACTCAGCAACATCCTGGTCAATCTCTTCTGAACCCTCTCCAGCTTGATAATACCCTTCCCATAACTGGGCGACCAGAACTGGACACTATATTCCAGAAGAGGCCTCACCAATGTCCTGTACAACCTCAACATGACTTCCCAACTCCTATACTCAAAGGACTGAGCAATGAAGGCAAGTGTGTCAAATGCCTTTTTAACCATCCTGTCTAAATATGACACAAACTTCAAAGAATTATGATCCTGCACACTTAGGTCCCTCTGTTCTACGACACTACCCAAGGCCCTACCAATAATTGTATAAGCCCTACCCCTGTTTGTTGTACCACAATGCAATACCTTGCATTTATCCAGATTGAACTCCGTCTACCATTTTTCAGCCCATTGACCCATTTGATCAAGACCTCTTTGCAATCTTAGAAAATCTTCTTCACTGTCTACTATGCCACCTATTTTGGTGTTGTCCGCACACTTCCTAACCATGCCCTCTATATTCTCATCCAAATCATTTATATAAATGACAACCAAAATAGGACCCAGAACCAATCCCTGTGGAATATCGCTGGTGACAGGCTTCCAGTCTGAAAAGCAACCCTCCTCCACCACTCTCTGTCTCCTGCCATTAAGCCAATTAGGTTTTCAATCAGCAAGCTCACCCTGAATCCCATGTGATCTAACTTTACTGATTAGTCTACCATGTGGAACCTTGTCAAAGGTTTTACTGAAATCCAACTAAACAATGTTTACTGCTCTGCCATCATTAATCTTTCTGGTACTTTCCTCAAAGCTCTCAATCAAGTTTGTGGGACATGATTTTACTCACACAAAACCATGCTGACTATCCTTAATAAATTTTTGCCTCTCTAAATGTCCATAAATCCTATCTTTTATAATCCCTTCCAACAAGTTACCTACAACCGAAGTCAGGCTCACAGGTCTTAGCAAACATTTGTAGCTTGGATTGTGGATGTAGTTGTTTGGTAGATCGCTGAGCCGGTTGTTCTGTGGTGTGCAGACGTTTCGTTACCATTCTAGGCACCATCATCAGTGCAACCTCTAATCGAAGTGCTGGTATTCTCCTCCATTCCGAACTTATATGATTCTCTGGTGTGGTGGGTCTTGTCATTTCCGGTTCCGTTTTTCAGCAGCGATCTGTATATTGGGGCTATTTCTATGTGTTTGTTAATGGAGTCCCATGTTGAGAACCAGGCCTCCAGAAATTCCCTCGCATGTCTGTTGTTTGCTTGTCCCAGTATGGTCACTTTGTCCCAGTCGAACTGATGGCCTTTATTGTCTGTGTGTATCGAGACAAGTGAATATTGTTTGTGTCTTTTTACTGCCAGCTGGTGTTTGCGCATCCTGGTCATCAGTTTCCTCCCCATTCTCAACACGGACTCCATTAACAAACACATAGAAATAGACCCCGTTTACAGACCACTGATGAAAAACAGAACCGGAAGTGACAAGACCCACCACACCAGAGAATCATATAAGTTCAGAACAGAGCAGAGCACCAACGCTTCACTTAGAGGTCACACTGATGATGTTGCCTAGAATGGTAACGAAACATCTGCACACCACAGAACTGGCTTGGCGATCAAACAAACAACCGTATCAGATTCACAGTTCTACAGTTCCCTGGTTTCTCCTTACAACCCTTTCTTAGACAAAGGTACAACATCAGCCACTCCCCAGTCAATCAGGCACCTCACCTGTAGTTATTGATGACACAAATATTTTTGCAAGGAGTCGTGCAATTTCCTTCCTTACTTCCCACAACGTTCTGGGATACAGGGGGTTCTGCTATAACGTGTGTTCCGGCAATGTGAATTGGCAATAGTGCGAACGATGAATAGGGGAACGCTATTTCTAAAACCTGAACTTGTGTTGGCTATAACGCAATTCTGTCAGTGACCTTATTGTTGATGTTTTGGAAGATGTTTTTAGAAAGTATTGCAGGAAAAAAAACTTCATATTTCAAGATTCACCTCATCTTGGATTAATGCGTAAAACCATCCTCCCACCATTGGTGATTTTTCTGAAAATGTCAAAATGCTATTTCTACCCCCAAACACAACCTCTCTCCTTCACTCATGGACCAGGGTGCAATAGCAGTTTTTAAAGCTTATTATATAAGGTGCACATTTAACAGGCGGGTTGCAGCCACTGAGGGGGATAAGGACAGTGTTCTTCAATTTTGGAAGAGCTTTAACATCAAGGACACAATTGACATTATGGTGGAGGCCTGAGGTAATGTCAGTAAGGACTGCTTGCATGCAGTTTGGCGGAAGCTTCTCCCAGATGTCTTTCAAGATTTTAAAACCTTGATCCCTCGAAGGAGATCCCAAAATCAAAGAACATTGTGTTGATCTTGCAAAGCAAGTTGGATTTGAAGAAGTGGACAGTGAGGATGTTGAAGAACTGCTTGAGTCCCATTGTGAAGTCCTCTCTACAGGCAACCTACAACAACTTATCGCTGAGAGGAAAGTGGAAACTGGAGATGAAGAAGATGAAGTTCAGGATGCAGCACCACAAGAGCTTTCCACTTCTGTTTTGTCTTCTATCCTGAGGGAAATTGAGAAACAGTTGCAGCTCTTAGAGGACAATGATTACAATGCAGAATGTAGCAGGGTAGCTGTTCGTGGAATAAGATCTTATTTGGCACCCTATAAACAACTTCTTCATAAAAGAAGAAAAAGGGCAAAGCAGCAAAAGCTGGATTATTTTTTGCAAGACAACCTCCAAGAAACAGTCAGAAGACAAATGAACCACAGCCATCCACTTCTGGATTAACTATTTGTCGACCTGACCCTGCAACCACAACTGCACCTGAAGGTGATGATGATGATGACCCTCAGCCCCTGCATTAACAACACAGTAACCTCAAAACCTCCTCCCCAATCAAGTCATCTCGACATTTTTTCAAGATAAGGTGTGAATTTACATTTATTGCACATACCTGCAATGATGTAATCTTGATCAGCTAGCCCAGAGGGCCGAGGAGTGCCAGATGGAGTTTAATTTAGATAAATGCAAGGTGTTACACTTTGGTAAGACAAACCAGGGCAGGAATTACACAGTTAATGGTAGGGCCCTGGGGACTGTTGTCGAACAAAAATACCAAGGGGTACAGTTACATAGTTCCTTGAAAGTGACGCCAGGGTTAGACATGATAATGAAGGTAGCATTGGGTACGCTTGCCTTTATCGGTCAGACCACTGAGTACAGGAGTTGGGACGTCATGTTATAGCTGTATAAGAAAGAAGGCAAGTCATGGTGTAGCTGAACAAAACATTAGTTTGGCCACATTTGACGTATTGTGTTCAATTCTGGTTGCCACACCATAGGAAGGTTGGGGAGGCTCTGGAAAGTGTGCAAAAGACGTTTACCAGGATGTTGCTGCATTGAAGTGTATTAGCTATAAGGAGAGATAAGAAAAACTTGGATTGTTTTCACTGGAACATTGGAGGCTGAGAGGTGACCTCAGAAGGATGCAAGAGAGGCATGGATAGGATGGATAGTGGGAATCTTTTTCTCAGGGTGAAAATGTCAAACATTCAGTGGCACAGGTTTAAGGTGATGGGGAAAATTATAAAGGATATGTGCGAGGCAAGATTTTGAATACAGAGGTCAGTAGGCGTCTGGAAGACACTGTTGGGAAAAGTGGTAGATGCAGATATGTTTAACGATGTAGTTAGACAGTAACATGAACAGGCAGGGAATAGAGGGAAGAATGGCCACATGCATGCAGAGGGGATTAGTTTGAAATGGCATCATGGTCAGCACAAATGGGGCTGAAGGGCCTGTTCTGTTCTGTTCTATGTTTGGATTTGCATTCAAATGTTGCATCTTCCACTTGGAGCTTCAGCGGGTAAATGGGGTGGGATGATTTATTTAGAGCTTTTACCGGTCAGAATTTCCATGATATTTTACTTATAGCATTGCTTCTGGAAATGTTGTAAATATGTTGTATATGAACATCATCTGAAATGGTACATCGCTGTACAGGCATTGAATTTCCTGTCCACACGTTGTCAAATTATATAATGTGAAAACACTGAAGTGTAGCTAAAGGAAAAATTAATGGTTGTAATTAAGTTTCACAGAATATTTAACAATTCCAGTATATCAATCCATAGCAATGGTATAGGATACCTTAGGACTCAGTTTTAAACTTTCACAAATCATTTTGCGTTGCATTGATGGGGAGGGGGTGTGACCTTATTTTCCTCCTTCGTCTCAGTCATCAAATGCACCCATTCTGGTCGATATCCCCCTCCTTTCTGTGGTGTAAGCCCCCTGAGACTCCAAACCTGCACTCCAGTACTCAGTTTCATCATAACCCCAGCTCTCAGCGATACCTAAGATCACCAAGCTCGTCTTACTTTGGGATTGACCACACCCCACCCCAAGAACCAATTTTGCTCAATTTTATCCAGCAAACACCGCTTGTGAGCTTTTCAATCCCAATGCTCTCAGCTGAATTAAAGTATTCATGCTCATGGGCTGCTCCTGGGCCCCAACACAGAGTCAGCAACTTCCTCATTCCCGAGATTTCCCCTGAATCAGACTCTTGGTTGCCTGCTAGTTCCTGAACTTTTCCGTCAGTTTGGCCCAATAGCACAGAGTGATCCATCTCTTCTGGAGACCCCAGCACAGATCCTGTGTAGTTGAGCTGCCTTCCTGCACTGCACATGGTTGCAGCACTGCTAAAGTAGAGTTGGCTTCTATTACTGTCTGTCTCCCATGTTCCCCATCTTTTCTAACTCACCTTCAAAATCCTTCAGTGACCATCACGTTATTCTGAGTGACTGATTGAAAATCTAGCAACGTGCCCTTCCACTATTATTGGACAGGATTTTGATTTGCTTTTGATACTGTCAACAGCAGCATCCTTAAAACTGTGTATATCCTGAAGGTGACATTCTCCAGAATTCTTGGCATTGGTACAAATTAAATGCAATAATTAGTAATGTACTCCAGCACAGAGTCCTCATTCCAGGGAATAAATTTCCTTCTAATTTCCACATTTGCTTTCAATCTGCAATCTCCCCTCTCAGGCTCAACCTTATGTTTGTTGGCTAAGAGTCAGTTCCATTGAGTCTCACAGAGGGTTTCTCTCATTGAAGCTGAATGAGATCTGTTGCCCTGGGGCACAGCAGAAAAGGGAAATTTGGCACCACCCCTTTGCAGACAGGGACCTGGAGATCCTGGTGGTGGAATGGTGCAGTGTTGAGATGTCAACTACCCCCAGCACTGGCAGTGGAAACTATGAAACCACATTGTCCCAGCCTGCTCCAATGATTCCAATAAGGTCAGGGACTCCCTGCCATCTGCAGGAATGCCCAGCAATGTTGGAGAGAGGACAATGGTCTTCTCCACCCTGCCAGGGTAAGTGCCACCATCTTCTCTCCAATGCCTCACACTCATTCTCCACCCCGTACCCAGGTCCCACCGAGGCTCATACTCTCACTCTCAGTCACGTAACATCTTCCCTCAATCGCTGTCACCTACCCCATCCCTTGACACCATTGGCCCTGCAAACCCTCAGGTGCTACCAACTCACTCGCTCAGGGAACCCTTCGTACCTGCACCAAAAGTAGCAGCTGTGCCACTCACTTCCATCTCCCTTAATTCCTGATGCTCTCTCATTACAGACCACAACAGCTCACACTAGGGCAGAGAGAGTCAGGACGGGTGATGGGATACCCAAAATCCCGGTTCTCAGCTTCCTGACTCTGACTGCCCCAAGCAGCTAATTGGCCATGTCCAAGCCCCTGGCCTGGTACTGGAGGCTGCCCTTACCTTACTGTGCTGGGACCCCCTGGGTGAAGGCTGCCTCCTTGGACCTGACTGAGAACTGTTCACACCATGACAAAACTTCCCAGCTGTGCGTCTGTATGAAACAGCATGGCAATACTGCGTTACTGTGAGCCTGGGATCTCTGGCTGTGGGACAAGGCAGGAATGCTGTGAATATCTGTTAGAATTGTTCTTAAGGCTTAACGGATCAAAGGGAGAAAGTAGGAACAGGTATTGAGTTGGACGATCATCCATGATTTAATTGAATTGTAGAGTATATTCAAAGGGCTGAATGGCCTATTCCTGCCTCTTGTCTATGTTTCAATGCTTCCATCTGGTTAGGCTGAGTGGGTGAGCACTCAGACTAAGAGCCAACAGGCTGAAGATGCAGCCTGGTGCAGTCGAGCAGCTGGTGTGTGTCCCTGAGCACACAATGTCTTTGCCGCAGCATTGAAGTGATATTTACCAGTGTGCTGCCAAGGTGCAGTGTTGAAAGGCAGAAACACAATGCAAGTGGATTGGAAATGTACCATGAAGGATTCTAGAGGCTGTCACATGTCAGATGCCAGTATCTGTGGACATGGGAAGCATGTGGCCTGGTGTCCATGGAGTGTGCCAGGAGATATTTGAGCCTGGTGTCCATCGTGAAGGTCCTAATGGAGCAAGCAGTGAGTTGAAGTTGTCTGGTACTCGCTTTCCATTCTTTAAGTTTTCTGCATCTCGTTTGCTTCTGGCAGGTAGTAGGAGGAAAGCTGCATATTAATGAGGCAAGATGTGCAGTTAACAAAGATTATTCCTCCTTAATAGGCAACTTACCAGAAGCTCGTAAGAATCTCACCTCATTGCTGAGAAAGTTGTTCAAAGTTGCAGAGATTTGATCCTGATGTTGAGATAGGCCTTGCTGGACCTCTCACATCATTCTGCCACATCTCTCACCATATCCCATGTTGTTCAGACCCTGACAAGGTTCTGCCCATCTCCATCACACATAGTCTGTACATTCGAGCTTGAACCGGAACCACTCATTGTGTAACTTTTGAATCTCTATGGCAACAACCTATTAAATTCCTGAGAACCTGTTGTTGAGTCACATGATCTCCTGAGAATGTGATTTAAAGTCGACAAGCATCTATGTGCTGTGGTCTGTCATTATGAGAAATTTGTTGCTGTCGATGTGGTCACTGCACAGTGACATGGACTGTAGTGACTATCCACATCTGTATTGACAGCTGTGTATAGATAAACTTGGGGAGAACAGGAACCAAAATATAACCCACAGAGTGTTCGACCACAAACCCAGCCCAATATCAGCTGTTGCACAGAAGCTGCTGACATTTCAATCCGATGGATTGAAGCCACAATGAGATTTGTCCCGAATAATCAGCCTCAATGTGGCACTGTTCACTGAAGTTTGGAGTCAGCCCTTAGCAGCTCCTTGCAAACATGCAACAAGAGGATTTAGTTTTTTTGTTCATCTTCTGCAATGCAGCAAATTTTGAACATTAAACATGTTGGAGCAACACAATTGAATATGTTCAATGTGAAAATGTAACCAGCAATAAATTGTCTTGTTTAAATCATTTCAAGTTGCATTGCCGAACACTGGCTCCTAATGGCCATCTTGCTTCCATTCACTGGGAGGAGCAGAATCAAATTATTCGAGAGAATTCATCTCCAACTGAAGCTTTTTGGATTGGCTTAAATCTTATCTGCAAGGTATTATTACTTGATTTGTTGTTTTACATTATTTCAGAGAAATAAATTATATATTTTTAAATGGTATGAGTTGATATCTCCACAGGAGGGAACTTACCTCTGGACAGGTGGATCTTCGTCAGATTTTGTGAACTGGGCCATGAGCCAACCTGATAACTCTCGTGGTGTAGAAGACTGTGTGCATTTCGTTGGTAAGTCTATGCTACCGAATGTCTAGGGGAAAGGGAAATAGATCAATGGGTGAGATTCTAACCGGACTCCATTTAGTTGGATTTCTTATGACCCAGGCTACTGTCATTCCACACTCACTACTCCACGGGTCACAACACAACCGGAAAGATTATATTGATTTTACCAAGATGATCAATTGAAAGGCTTATCTACATCAGGTTTTAAACACCAAGATCTATCAATCAGATTTCTTAATAAACACAGTTTATTGATTTATTATCAACAGAACTTATTGAATGAAGGACTAATCAATTTAACATAGTCAGTGATGTAGAAGTACAAAACCTTATTATGCCTTGAAATATCCCCAAAACATAAACAAACACACAGTTCAGGAAAAAAGAAAGAAAGGCCAATTTTCTCTGTAATAGTTGGTTTTCAGAAAATGTTCCTTTTTCTTGATGTCTGTTGCTCTGGTGTTCTGGCACCTGTCAAGTTACTAGTCACTCAAAGTTGTCTCTGAAGTGAAATAATTTTAGAGAGGCCAGTATTCCATCACCAAGTCACCCTTTATTTACACACAATCCTTAACTATAGTACTGCTTCATAAAAAGAGAGGTACCAAAATGACAGTATCTCTGACACTCCCCTTCATATGTGTCAGCCAGGGCTCCCTAATCAGACCAGATTTTCTGTGAGATCCACCCGGCTGACTTCATTATAATCACTACATCCCTTCCCCTCTGAGTCCGAGGACATAGGCTGATCCTTTTTCTTGGAAATCCTCCTGGGGTGTTCCAGCACCAGGTCAGGTTGCTCTGACTCAGCATCAACATGGGGAAATGTGTAACTTGCAGGAGCTTTCCTTTTGCACCAGGAGTGCCTTGGTAGAATTTCACTCCCTTCTTTGTGTGGCAAAGACATCAAAGTGGCTACTTCAATTGTAAGTATATAACAAGGTGTAGAGCTGGATGAACACAGCAGGCCAAGCAGCATCAGAGGAGCAGGAAAGCTGACGTTTCGGGTCCAGACCCTTCTTCAATTATAAGTACTTAGTTTAGAGCCCATCGCTGGATGTGGCCCAAAGCCATGGGCTGTACTGCCTTATCCTCTTTAAGCAGGCCAAGTAGGGGGTTTGTGATCTGTGATTATCATGGATTTTCACCCATAATAGTATAAGTGGAACTTTTTGACTCCAAACCTGCTTCTTTTCTATCTGGGCATATTGAACCTCTGAATGAGTCAAAGTCCTGGATGCAAAGGCTATTGGGTATTCCTGTTCACTGAGTGACCTATGAGCTAATGCCACTCAAATGCCATACAGGGAGACATCACATACCAATACAAGATCTTTCTTGGGATCATAGTGTGCCAACACCTCAGAGGATGCCAGCTGTTTCTTTATTGCATTGAAAGCTAGAAGTTGTCTATGAGACAATTTTCAAGGCTGACCCTTTGTTAGGATTTGATGCAAAGGTGCCAGGATGGATGCCAAGTTATGTATGAACATTCCATAATAATTTACCAGGCCAAGAAATGACCTGAGCTCCTGGACAGATGTGGGAGCAAGGGTACCTTTGATTTCCCGCACTTTATCTTCCAGTGGGTGTAACCCAGTCTTGTCAACTCTGTACCTCAAGTAGGTACAAGTTTCCCATCTAAGGCAGATGCCCATCTCGGGAAAAACCTCTGTTAATGTCCAATTTCTCTAAGTGTTTCTCATTAGTATTCCCTGCTATTAGGATGCCTTCTAGATAAATGGCAAATTAGAGTGGACCTTGCAAAATGTTCTCCATCATCTGCTGAAAGATTGCACAGGCTGATGATACCCCAAATGGTACTGTATACTGGTACACATCCATAACCGGTATTAATTGCAGGATACTTCTGGGAATTCTCTCTCAATGCAATTGCAAGTAAGTGTGGCTCATGTCCAACTTCGTGAAGGACAGCATCCTCTCCCCCTTCCCCGCCAGCTTTGTGTATAAATTCTCTCTCCCAGGGATTGGGTATTTATCCAGCTGCGGAAAGTGGATTACCATTTGCTTAAAATCCCTTAAAAGGTGAACCGACCTGTCGGGCTTCAAAATTGGTACAACCAGTGCTGTCCATTCCACAAATTGGACTGCTTTGATGATTCCTTCACTTTCAGCCTTCTGATTTCTGCTTCCACTTTTGTCCGTATGGCAAATGGCACTTGGCAGGCCTTGCAGATTCATGGAATCGCTCCTGGTCAACGCGCAAGGTGGCCTTGGCTCCTCAGGTAGTCCCTAGACTTTCCTGGAAGTCTTCTGGGTATTTAATTAGGATGTCACTCAGCAGCCATTTTCTGATTGAAAAATGTTAGCCAGTCTAGATGAATCCCTTGCAACCAGTTTTACCCCATTAAGCTTGGGCCCGAGTCTTTTATCACAATAGCTGGTAACTGAACCAGCTGTCTTTCAGATGGGACCAGAACAGAGGTCGGACCCTTAATCTGCAAAGGTTCCCTGGTATGGATTCTCAGCCTAGCTGAGGTCTTGCACAAATTTAAGGATTGGAGTCCAGAGTGAATTTCATTAAAAAGCTGGCTCTGTGATCAATGATGTGGTTGCACTGGTACTGAACTCCATTTGAACTGGATGACCATTTAACCAGACATTTACCTTGATTGGTTCTGATTTGGATGTTCCAAATCAGATGTGGGCGGATTTTCCAAGGTATGAACTCTCCTGAATACCAGCCTATGAGTTACATTAATTAATTTAGGTCAATTAGGACTCTTTTGCTGTTTCGAGGCCACATACCGACAACAACTACAATGACTTGCTGGCCAGGATCCAGAAGAAAATTTTAACCATTTGGCCGAGGTTTGGCTTTGTTTTGGAGTTTTGCTGTGGTCAGACCTAGAGTCAATCTGATCAGGATATGCCCTGAGTGAGGCCAGGCAATTGTCTTCACTCATGTGGTGTTCTGTAAGCTCAGACAGACTGATGAGGGTTGCCCACTTCCATCAGAAAACCCTCCAACTCATATGCTGCACTTGCAATATTTTCCAATGAAAATGCCAATTGTAGTGTCTGTTTGAAATCCAGCTGAGCTTTAGCTGGCAGGCACTTTTGCATAGTTACATCATTAATCTCATGTACCAAGCAGTCTCTAAGCATCTCATTAAAGGTTAAATCAAATTCTGCCAGTTGTAACCTAGTCAAAAATCCCAACACAGATTCCACTGATTCTTGAATTGCTGAGTAAAAACAATCATGTATTCGAGTAAGCTTGTGGTTGTAATATTCCTTAGCTACATCAGTCAATTCTTCAAAGGTATAAGTATCTGGTGCCTCAAGAAAAGTTACGGTCCTAATAATAGAAAAAGCTGTGGCTCCACATGCTGTCAGGAGAATTACACATTGCTTTTTACCTGCCACAATATTGTTTGCCCAGTTTCCACAGACTGGGTCCTGTTCTTGACAGCAGGGTCAAATGAATCCAGCTTCCCAAACAGCACATGATGTAAGAAACACTTACCCCAGTACAAAGATGACTGTTATCAGTGAGTTTCTTCAGGATTGTCCTTTACTATTGGTGCCACCACCAAGTTACCCTTTATTTACGCATGAACAGTCCTTAACTATAGTATTGCCTCATACAGGCATGTCAGGCGTTCAGGTACTCCGTATCCCTGCCATTCATCCTTTTATGTCAGCCAGGGCTCCCTGATTGGATCTGATTCACCGTGCCTATCAGGGAACTCGTATTCTATGAGGTCCAGCTGGCTGACCTTGTTATACTTACTACATTAAGTCTTGCAGATGCAACTTGTTCAAAAAATATAGTCTTGCTGTTCTACAGTCACTCTTTCGAGAGAACAAAACGTTTCCACAGGGATTAGTGCTGGGTCCACAATTCTTTTAAAAATATATTAATGACTTACATGATGAGAGGGAACCTACAGTCACCAAGTTTGTGGATCACACAAAAACGAGGTAAGAAGGAGTGTCACAATGAGTCTGCAGAAGTATAGAGTCAGTTTAAATGAGTCAGCAAAAACTTGGCAGATAGAGAATATGTGGATAATATGAGTAATGCAATTTGGCAGGAAGACAACAGAAGTTGAATATTACTTAAATAGGAAAGTCTGCAGACTACAGGAGCACAGTGGATTTTGGGAATCCTTGCACATCAATCACAAAAAGCTGGCATACAAGTTCAATAGGTAATCCGTAAGGCAAATGGAAAGCTGGCCTTTATTTTAAAGGGAATGGAGTATCAGGCTGAGAAAGACCAATTTTGAATCAGGAAGGGTAAAAAGGGTTCTGGGGAATGGGCAGGAAAGTGAATTTGTAGATTATCAAGTCAGCTGATTATCTCATTGAATGATGAAGAAGCCTTGATGGGCTGAATGGCCCACTTCTCCTCCTGTGGCTGATTGTTCCACCCTGAATTCAAAATGATGGTTTTCTTTAGAAATTGCAGCAATCAGCTGGGTAAGTGTTCCAAGCAGCCTTCTCTCCAACTGAAACAGATAAACACGGATTCACCCAAGCCAGTAATTGATCAAAAACAGCCCCAGCAGGGGGTCTACCGCAAAGTAACACTCCTTACCCAATCACTCCTTGTGATTTACAGCAAGCCTTGTTTTTTAAAAAAACCTCCAATCCCCACGGTGAACTTTCAAATTCCTTTTTGAAGAAACCACTCCAGATCAGACTGTAACATGTGATCAGCCTACTCCAGACATCTCCTATTCCTGAGCTAACTTGCGATCACCTTGGGTCACATTCTGTTATTCACCATTTTCTTGTAAGCAGCCAGTGTGATCAGACATTGACAATATCCTTTTTTTTCAGTGATTGATCATTGGCAAACATCGCAACTGTGTCATTTAACACAGCAATTCATCTTTCATTCATTAAGGTAAGTGCTTTTTTTCTCTGGAAAGAGGCTTATGTTTGATCTCAGGCCGGTTTGTTCAGGTTGTTCATGGAAACAATTTTCTTTAAGCATTTGTGTTGTTTAATGAACCGAATGACATTTATACAGCATGACCCTGTGGTCTATTGACAAACGGTCATCACACATCTAGTTTGTTTCAGATCAGAACTTCAGCCAGATACAGTGTCAAAACTTACAATATTTAATGTCAACACACATCCCTTCAGAGAACACCGAAAAGAACAATGAAGACATCATCCAACCAATTGATCTTTCAATACAGCAAGCTTAATGTGATTTTCTTTCTCATTGTGGCTGAACCAGCAAATTTAAGGTGACAATCTATATCCTAAATAAAGCAATGGGGTTTTTTTCCTGGTTCACTGAACTCTTCTTCCTCTTTTTCCTCCAAAGAAGTCATTTAATTGGAATGATGCACTTTGCGATTCGAAATTGTGTTCTGCTTGCTCCACCAAACTGCTGTGTCCTGACTGTTACTGAAAGAATCTATCGCTGCTCCATGGATCTAGAATTCACAGCCTCTGACCTGCATTTTATACAGCTGGTCCTGTAAATATTCTGGTCAATAATAGTCACCTATTGTTTATGGTCATTTGAAAAGTAAAGGCATTTGGTTGGATTATTTCTTGCTGACAATAATATTTGTGCATTACAATTGTTAAGTAACAGGGTCAAAGATAGAGCGGCTGAAGATACTTGGGCCAAGGGAATTATCCTGAGGAATTGGTGGCACTATGTCCTAGTTAGTTACAGCACTTGCCTCGTAAAAGACATTTGGACAGGTACATGACTAGGAAAGGTTTAAATGGACAAGGGCCATATACAGGCAAGTGGGACTAGTTTAGTTTGGGAAACTTGGTTGACATGGACAAATTGGACCGCAGCTTCTGTTTCCATGCTTTATGATTCAATAACTCCATGACCCAGTGATTGCTAATACCAGCACTGTCTTCCTGTGCACCACCTCACATCACATTATGCATTTCGCCAGTTTCAGGGATCACCAAAAATGGCTGGGAGATAGTTCTGGGGGAGGCATCAAGGTGGGAGAGATGGAGATGATTGTGGGGGAGACAGAGATGTTGGGGAGGTGGAGATTAGAGTGGGGAACGGAGATGGGATGAGGAGAGTGAGTTGTGGCTAAACAGAGTTGGGGAGCACACGAGGAGGGGGAGAGAGAGAGAGAGAAGACCCACCAACTCCTGGGCCATCCTTGTCCAGGTACATTTAATCTGCAATAATTTATCGTCCATTTGCCCTGCAGTGAAGGTGTTCAGTGGTTAGGTGCTGTTCAAAGCCGACTTGCAAAATGCCACTGGTCATTGCAAATTGAACTTGAACATCTCAATGATGTTGAAGTCAATAGCAATAATGTTACAAAAGGCCAGCGCTGGCCAATGGTGAAACATTATTTGTTCAACTTCTGAGGATGATGTCATCTGTCATGGAGGTTTGATGATAGTGTGTATTGAATGCAGTGGGAAGTTGAAAGCTCGGTGTGAATCTGGGATGGGAAAGGGCTCAGAGTGCAGCAAGCAGTCCATTATGATACAACGTATCCCGGTCACTGATCTGATGTGGTATATTGACCAAGTTGCTGAGGCTGAAGCTGAATGTATGATGGAGACAAGGCTCCCATTATTGGGGTGCGTGCAGCATGTCTCGCTTTTGGGAGGAGTGTGTTGAGTCCTCACCTGCAGGGTATGACTCTTCTCATACTGAAGAACCTCTTTCACTTCTGGTTATGCCAATGAAGGTTTTTCTACTCAGATTCCTGCATTCCTGCCTCTTGTGGGATATTGGTCACTGGGACCAGCTTCTTAAGAAGGTGAATGATGGTATAGGAGGACCAGAGCTGACAGCAAGTCCAGGAGCAGCAGTGGCCTGGCGTGGCGGACGGGGAACATCTAGCTCAGAGAAAGCGCAGGATCCCTTATAATGTGTGGGGTGTACAGTAGAAGGCCCAGAGTTTTCCGGCTGTCAGTCCGATTCCTGGGAACTAGCAAGGTGCAGTGTCGACACAGGCTCCACATGTCCCGGGACACAGCAGGGCTACGGCCTTGTCCCTCATGTTGGACATGGATCCAACAATCCAGACTGTGCTAAGAATTACACCAGAAATCAATTTAAGGTCATCAGTTTGGCTCGCAGTATAATTCATTTGCATGAGCTGGAAGCTCCACATATTTACACACAGGTCCCTGTTCTGTGCAGACAAAAGGAACATTTCTTGCACACGTAACAAAAGGTTAATTAGAATGTCAGTCCCTGCTGCATTCCCCATGGCAACACCCTGACCACTATCTACCGGCCTGATTTAATCAGCTAAGACTGATGACAGTTCTCACTGCATCTCCATGCCAACTATGATCCAGCCAATCATCACCCTGTTCTCTTTCTAGCTTCGATTTCTTGCTTGTTAGTAGTGGTGAAAGCACGATGGAAAACATTGATCTGGTGTCTCTCTTTAGCAATGTTTAACTTATATAAAAACAAGAAATGACATGCTACTGCTTCCTTCATAATGGATCCAGCATTTCCTGATGACAGGTACCAGATTAAATGGTCTGTAATGACCTGTCTCCCACATTTCCAAAGTAGTGATGTTAGATTTGGGATTTTCCAATCTGTAATTGAAAAGGGGATAGTCTTTGGGGTCACTGTTTGATTGCCCTGGCTCAGGGTGTGAACAATTACACTGATGTGGGCATTTAGTTTCCCACAGACCCAGCCAATGGCATACATCAACAGGAAGGCTTTCCATTCCATCAATATCTAATGGATCTGTACCCACCATAGATGGATCCTTCAGGTGTGAATGCGGTTCTGGGAAGCACAGATGCTCCGGTTTCCTCCCACAGTCCAAAAATGTGCAGGGTAGAGTGGATTGTCCATGCTAAATTACCTATAGTATTCAGGGATGTGTAGATTAGTTGGGTTTTGGGGGAATGGGTCTGGGTGGGATGCTGTGACGGTCAGTGTGAACTTGTTGGCCCAAAGGGCCTATTTCCACACTGTAGGGATCCTATGATGATCTATGATGATGATGACCGACCATCAGACTTTTTTCTCCAGAGGTACGAATGGAGTGCAGGGGGATGCTGCCTTGAGATATTTTTATTCTATAATAAATACGGAATGTTCTAAAGCATGAGGAATTCTTTCCACTTTCTAAATCAGACATTAGCTCCCCCAAAGAACACATTGTGAAGGACCACACAATGTGAACTCAAAGAACTTCCAATGCCACAGTCCAATGTCTGACTGTACAGGTAAACGGTGAGAGTGATGAAGGAAGCAGCATACTGGTTACAGAATGTTGTAACTGTATTGGGTTTCATGGATCTGTTAGTCAGAATCACCACAAACGGTCCTCTACTAGTACATCACAAGCCTCTCCTGTGATCTTTCGGGGGTCATCAGATCTGCATCTCCCTCCATATCCTCATCATGGAACAGGGCATTGTGCTGCACAGTAACCCCCGCTGTTCAAATCGTCACGAAACCCCTCGCCACTCCAGCCTGAAGTACCACTTGCACAGCATATCAAATCACCACAATACAGCAGACCCTGTGGTATTTGGGACCTGGTGTCTCTAGGACCCTGCGGACTCCCCTGACCAGTAGGTGTGAAATGACGTTACCCAGGTACCTTTGCATGTGTCAATGAAAGGACTAAGCAGCAGGAGGCAGCAGTGAGTGGGACAGTCATGTCTTTATTTGAAGACAACATGGCTTAGAGCTAAGCTTTACAGTTTTAACAACTCTATCTCTAACTATCCAATTCTTTAGAAACTTTAATATTTCCCAGATACATGTAACTTTTGCCGGTTTGTTGAATTCTTTGGCCCATTCTTCTCTCTTCGTGGGTTGGTTCTCTCTCTGGTCAGACAGCAAGCTGCTGTGGTCTCCATTGTGTCCAGAGGGACCTCCAGGGTCAGGGGGAGAGTGGGGTCAGGCTGAGCCCTGCCATGACCGGCTTCTTACACCTTCTCAAATTTTACAAAGAATTGACCCATCAGGGTCATTGAGTTAATTTTTTTTATCACATTGAAATGTTGTTCATGGCTTTCAATTGCTTGCTGATAGTGAACCCTTTGATATGTCTGCTTTGGGCTCTGGGTGTCTGGTTTTGGTGTAAAATGTGCACCTCGTCTTTTGTTTTACTGAGGCACATCTGCCCCATGTATCCCATGTGGCAATCTGTTTGTCAGGAAATGTTGAACTGCCCTTTTACACTTGTTAATGTGTTGTGGTACCTCTCTGGTTTTCAGTTGTCTGGGCTTGAATCTTACAAGGGTCTATCTCGAGGCAGTATTGTCTCTGTGTCTCTCTATGTCTTGGACTGAGGTATTCCCAGCATACCTTGTTGTCTGGCTAATTTCTGTGCCTGCTCATTTCAGTTGCTGTGTTTGTATGTCTGTCATTATGGTTGTTGTAGCTGGTTTCTTTTTAATGATTTTATTTTACCTGAGCAGTCACAGGCTGCTACACCTTGCAAGGGGATAGTGAAGGGCATTACCCGATCAATCTTGGCTCCTCAATCACATTATCAAGAGAGTGACCTGCTCAATGCTCACTCAGAATGCCCTGTGGTATATCTTGCAGCTCGCTTCTGCATCTGTTCATTTCTGTCACAGGAGTGAGCAGCCATGTCCTCAGTGGGTAGCCCTGGTCTTCTCATATCCAGCCTGAAGGTACAGCTGGAAAAGCTGTGAATGTCTGATGCATATAATACTGCTTGCTGGAACCACATTCACACCTGAATGATCCATCTACGGTGGGTGCAGATCCATTAGACATTGATGGAATGGAAACTCTTCCTGTTGATGTACGCCACTGGCTGGGTCTCTGGAATACTAAATGCCCACATCAGTGTAATCGTTCACACCCTGAACCAGGGCAATTGAGCAGGAACCCCAAAGAATATTCCCCTTTTCAATTATAAATTGGAAAATCCCAAATCTAACATCACTACTTTGGAAATGTGGGAGACAGGAGACAGGTCATTATAGACCACTTAATCTGGTACCTGTCATCAGGAAATGCTGGATCCATTATGAAGGAAATAATAGCAAATCATTGTTCATAGAATCCCTCCAGTGTGGAAACAGGCCCTTTGGCTCAACAAGTCCACACCAACCCTCAGAACATCCCACCCAGACCCATCCCCCTATAACACACCTCATCTACACATCCCTGAACACAACGGGTAATATAGCATGGACAATCCACCTCGCCACCTAGGAAATCGGAGCACCCGGAGGAAACCCACGCATACACGGGGAGAATGTGCAAACTCCACACAGTCGCCTGAGGGTGGACTAACTACTGTGCCACTGTGCTTGCTTATAAATAAGTTAAACATTGCTGAAAGGAGACACCAATTAAATGTTTTTCACCTTGCTTTCACCAGGACTAATGTGCAAGAAATCAATGTTGGAAAGAGAACATTATCTTCTGTAATGCGAGAACAGGATGCTGATTGGTTGGGTCATGGTTGGTATGGAAATGTTTTGGCAACTGTTGTCAAGTTTAGCCAGGGTTAATTAAACTCACACCAGACAGACTACAGCCAGGGTGTTGCCATGGGGAATGAAATTCTAATTACCTTTTCTTCAGTGTAAAATATACAATTTAAAGACAAGTTTCTTTTGTCTGTACAGAACAGGGACCTGTGTGTAAATATGTGGCACTTCCAGCTCATACAAATGAATTATACTGCGAGCCAAACTGATAACCTTAAATTGATTTCTGGTGTAATTCTTAGCACAGTCTGGATGGTTGGATCCATGTCCAACATGAGGGGCAAGGCAGTAGCCCTGCTGTGTCCCGGGACAAGTGGAGCCTGTGTTGACACTGTGTTGATCCTCAGGAATCGGACTGACAGCCGGAAAACTCTGGGCCTCTTCCTGCACATTGTAAGGGATCCTGCATTTTTATTGGGAGTATCTTGAACCAGTCAATCTCGATCCAGACTAAGAAACATTTTACTTAAAACTGAATCATATTTAGTCCAAATTATGAGTAGAAGCAGAAAACAGTCGTAGGGTCAGTGCAGGGTGTTGGGATCATGGCCAGGGTCAGGGACAGGGGCCAGAGTAAAGGAAGGAGCCCAGGAGCCAAGGCTCAGGGTCTGGTGGCTGGGACAGGGACTGGTAGTCAGGGGAGAAACAGGGTCAGGGGGCTGGTGACAGGGTGTGGGGCTGGGGGCTGGGGCTGGCTACAGAGTGTGAAGGTCGGGGTAGGGGCTGGCTTCAGGGTGCGAGGGTCAGGAGGCTGGCTACAGGGTGTGAGGGTTGGGGTAGGGGCTGGCTACAGAGTGTTGGCGTGGGATCAGGGGGCAGGCTATAGGGTGTGGGTGTGGGGGCAGGAGCTGGCTTCAGGGTGTGGGGGTGAGGGCAGGAAGCCGGAGCTGGGACTTGTGATTTCTGACTCTGGCCCAGAGATGTTCCATTTTGGGGAAGGAAGCTGACCATGAGCCAGGGTCTGGATCCAGTTTGAAGCCTATCCTGTATTTCATACAATTATAACTTCTGAGACTGAAATTGTTGTTCGGTGTTAGATGAGTGCCTTATTTAACTATACTTTTACAACATCTGATTTTATTCATTTAACTCACCGTTCCGGTATTGCTGACAAATCTGGAATATATAAACTGTGTCGTTTGAAGGGATTAATTTAAATTTGTCAAGGTTACCAAATTGAACTAATGTAATGACATGAAATCCCATTAAAATTGACAATTTTAAGTCTGAGGATCTGAGTATTTAATTCTGGAGTTCTTAAAGCCCACTGATTCACAGCTCAGTGTCCTGGTTAATGCCAGACCCGAAGAGATGATGGTGTACTTTCTACCTGTCGTTAAAGTTGAATATTGAAAATCAAAAACTTACTGGTTAGTATATTAGATAAGCAAAGTGCATCACATGCTTGATGCCAAACTGATATTCTTTTAAATTGTAAAAGATAATACCAATTATACTTCTACCTGACGATGGCAGAAGTAGC